TATTATATGCCCCCTCATCACATGCATTCTCAAGATCTGTAGCAGTTGTGAAAAAATTTGTGTCATCGGCATACTTTGTGATTTTACTTACATCAGGTTTGATTACAGGTATGAATGTCATTTAAAAAAGTTACAAACAATGTGAGACCTAATGTACTGTCCTGAGGCACTCCTGTTTTAACATTAAGTTCATTCGAAATAGATGTTCTATCCAAGAAAGTGCTAGTACACTCTTCTTGTTGTTCAAATGTACTACAGGGTGCCGCAGAGAGGATGGACGGTTTTAAAAAAATTATAAAATAGTTAATTTTCACTCGAAAACAAATTTATTGATGGAATCAGGTTCACAAGGAGATAGTCAAGTGTGGAAACTCACATCAGGCCGAAATCGTTGATGCAGTGCTGGAGGCGTTCTTGGAAGGTCGCGTAGACTCTCTCCAACATCGCTCTCTCAACTTGGGCGACTTCCACGCGAATTTCGCCCTTCAATTCGTCCAGAGTTCGCGTATACTCTAGCCTTGAGGTGTCCCCATAAGAAAAATCGCATATGGATAAATCTGGGGACCGAGGAGGCAATGAACATCGCCAAACCTGGAAATAAGGCGACCAGGGAAGAGAGGGCGAATAGTGTGGGCGGTCGCCCCATCCTGCTGCAACCATACACGTCGGATTGGAACACGTCGCCATGGTAATTCAGGGAGAAAGAAGTTGATGATCATGTCGACGTAGCACTCTGAGTTCACGGTAACATCACGACCATTACCGTCTTCGAAGAAGTAAGGGCCAATGATGCAAGTTTGCGATACAGCGCACCAAACCGTTACTTTTGGGCTGTGCAGCGGTCTTTCGTGTAACTGTTGCGTATTTTCATTAGAGTAATAATGACAATTCTGCTGGTTAACCATGCTGTTTAGGTGAAAGTGGGCTTCGTCACTCATAAATAAAATGAGGTTCTCATTTTGATCGATGAGTGCTTCCATCTCACGTGCGAAGTTCATTCGTTGTGCATAATCTCCGGGCTGTAACTGTTGCACAATGGCCAATTTGTAGGGGTGAAAGCGGAGATCCATATGCAAAATTCGCCTACCCGAACGATCACTAAGGCGAAGTGCAGCAGCATGTTTCCGGGCAGATCGAGTCGGACTTCGAAGAAAGACCTGTCGAACGCGTTCAACATTTTCAGGAGTTCGAACTGTTCGCGGCACTCCTCTTGGTCTTCTGTTGATCAGTTCACCACTCCTGCGAAGTGATTCAACCCAACGAAGGGTGGTGTTTCGAGAGGGAATAGCTCTATTCCAATGAATGTTGAAGTGGCGACGAAACTCACGCTGTACGACGATGACTGACTCATTATTTCGGACGAAACAATCATATGCGAAAACGCGGTGCTCCACCGTCCAAGGCTCCATAACGACAACTGGTAAAATAATGCTAGGATCTCACGAGTCAAACGGCACCCTCCCCACCTCTCTCGTAGACGGAGGCGGAGAGTACTACCCATCCCAAAAACGTCCGTCCTCTCTGCCGCACCCTGTATAATATTCTAGATAAACTCAAAAGCAGTTCTAAGAGTTGATTTACCTCTAATACTCGTATATCCATATTGAGTTTCATTTAGAGTTGAAACATTTAATATTTTTGAAAACATTGATAAGAAACTTACGTGTTTGAAACTATCAAAAGATGACATAGCCTTCATTCTTGTATAATGTTTTTAATTGATCAAGATAAATGTCATATTTCAATGAATTATTGATAATGAATACCAGTGGATCAACAATGAAATCAATGCAACTTTTTGTGATTATCCTGGATATCTCATCTGCACCACTACCATTTTTTAGCATTAGACGATTACAATTATTTCATCTATGGAGACAGGCCTGACAAGCATTGAAAATAAAATTCGTTTGAGAGTGCATTAATGAACGGTACTGTTGTTGCGAGTTAGGTTTACAATTGATTCCACTAAGAATGTGTTGAATTTATCTGCTGTCAGATACAAATTCCGATTCTATCTGTTGCTGAAAATTGCCTGACCCATTTATTAAATTTTCTATGTGCCACCTGTTTTGTCCTTATTATCTGACATCAGTATTTTGTTGTTGTAATCTCTTTTTTGCAAATCATCAGTTTCATGTTGTATTCTTCTCTTGTTAACTTACACATATGCTGCTCTTTATACCTAGAATCTATCAAGCTAACTGTAAATAAAATATCTAACTCTTTCTTACAACCCCATTCCGTTTCACGTCTGTCAGTGTTGGTTGTGTGGCTTTACAGTTTTGTTTGTCTCCATGTCAGTCACTAAACCTGCCGATAATTATTCAAGTCAATCAAATCGATTACACTAAGAAAACGGATCTCAAAGTGAAGTACGCACGGTTGCCAACCAACAAGAATTCCACCAGACTTTAGGAGCGATAATCAAATTTGAGTGGGAAACCACCAGATCGGTTTTAGATATTTGAAAATTAATTATAGCGAATATACTGTTGTAGTTTCAGTTGTTTTTTGACTATTTAATAAACGGTTCATTCGCAATTAATTTTAGTAGTTTTGAAGGATACTAAAAATATTCATTGAACATAGCTTATCTTTAAGATACTAATAGCCAGGTTTATTATGTTTTAATCAAAATGTTTAAAACAAGTGTTTTAAACACTGTTTAAAACAATGACGGAGTTTTAAACCAATTTGTTCTAAACTGTTTAAAATATGTTTTAAACACTGTTTTTTGTCGTTTGTGAATTATTCAGCTCTTTTTTTATATTTCTTTAAGTATGAATATAATTGATTTTATTTTTCAAAACGAAACTAAAAGGTCTATAGCTTGAAACACATAGGTACATACTTAAAAATATACTTTATTTTTATTAATTAATCAAACATGAAACTAGGGAACTAATACTAATGAAAAAAAATCTGTTTCTTAACGAACGAGTGAACCCAATAAACTGCATTGAACTCTAATACTAGTACACTGAAAGCAGGAGAATAATCATATAATATGACTTTGTATTTACTTGTATAATAACATTAAATAAGTTACTTAACAAATTTCTATAAAAGTATACAACCCATCTTATTTAACAAAAAATTAAAAAATCTTAAAATCCATATTTTTAAAATATAAAATCATGGAAAATGTACATAGAATGAATTTTTAGTTTTCACTACTTTTTACGGAACTCCAAGTGAAAAAGTGTACCTTTTTCACAATTCTCCAAGTTACTTAATTTTGAGGAAATCGGTTCGGTAGAAACATCATCATTGTCGGTATCAGAACTATTTGATATATGAATATTTTGTTTTTCTAACAATCAACTTCCTTGTTTAAGTTGTTTACAATTTTTAATATGCATGCGCATTCTAGCGACCAGTGGCACTATATCCATAGTGCAGGTTAAACATTTTGCTCTTTTATTTATTTTCGAGCCAGCTTTGGCATCAGTCTCCTTAAAATATTTCCACACGGGATCCTTTCTTATCCCTGTCATTGCCTTTCTTTTTTTTTGTCGATCTTTAATGCCCAAAAAACAAAACTCGCTACGACTTCGCACATTTGACTGCTGGAGATCGCAACGCAACGCAAACGGTACTTCCCCGACGTCCGCTCGGTAGTTTCCCGATGCCCGCACAGGTATCACGTATTTTGAAAAGTGACATTATGCCGATTTTTTTTTGACAATATGCTGTTTTTTTTGACATTATGTAGGTTTTTCTACAAGATGTTAACTTAGCATTTAGTTGTACGTGTTGCCTAAACGTCATGAGGCATATTATCAATCTTTGGCTCTGATGTGATGCAAAATCTGCTTCTGAGATGGCATTACTGGCGGTTTAATCTGTAAGTTGTATGTGTTGATGATAATTATATAGGTTCATGTCTCAAATACACTTAATTGAGATTCAAGGCTAGAAATTACTTGCGCATCCACTTTTCCTTATCCATTCTGGAAATTACATATACAAATTTGATGAATTTCAAAAATGAGAGAGATAGGGAATAATTATATTCACTGTAGACTGTCGAATTACAAGTCATATACATGCTAACAGTAATTACATACGACGCGGGCGCGGTGATCATTTACCGTAATTCTCCTCAGTTTTTCGTAATTTATGACTTCAGAAAGCACAACATAAAAATAAGCCTTCGGGCACAGCCAATAGATATACTTCATTGGCAGCATATTCAGTAATGATTTTCTCACACAGCATATATGACTGATTTTATACACATTCAGACCAATACACATAACCATCCAGATGCGATCTTGCTATTCAACCAACTTTCTTCTCAGTGATAACAACTACAGGCAAGGACCATTTGGCCTCACAAAACATAACCAACCAATAATGCGTGTAGTTTAGTTGAGTGATTCCTCCTTAGATAAGCGTTCACAACCATCCTAGTGAGCAAACGTGGAATGACTGTTTGTGCCCTAAAAACTACCTAGTCTGCAAGATGACATCTTATAGGTTTTTTTACGTTTTATAGGTTTTTTACATGATACCCACACCGCTTTTAAATTAGAGATGTGCTCTGATAGAGCTGGATCAAAAATAGTGATAGCTCTTTCAAGAAACTTCACTAACGTTGCTGGATTATTTAGGCAATAGTTTTTTATTTTTCTTACTGTTTTAAACATGTATTAACAGTGTTTTAAACATATTTTTTAGGTAAATTTGAATGTTTAAAAAAAATAGTTTTAACAAAAAAGAAAACATGATTTTTGTTTTTTTTCAACCCTAACTAATACTAAAAAAAATTTCAATTGAGATTATAATAAAACACAAAGTGAAAAAATTTTTATTTTTTATTCTAGAAAAATAGTAAACAGAGTAGATATAGATAAAATATTCCAACTAATTTAATAAATACTTTCCTTCAAAGCTTAAAAACGATTGAATCACATGCATCACGGTCGAGTGACAATTAAAAGAATATACTAATCGACTTGAAATTATTGTGGAATACCAAAGAAGTCAATTAATTATTCAAATTCATTAGCTTTGTAACATTCTGAGGTAGCTACAACCTCATCAGAAACATCATAGTCATAAGCTGTATCATCTCGCTGTAACCCGGTAACTGGAAACGAGATACAGGTATTAAATGTGCTTGTGGTTGTCAGTGCCAATCCAATGAACGCAATCCACCAGATTTCACAGGAGCCATTAAATTGAAAAACTCACTGCTAGGTGAGGACCTCAACCCCCCAGATCTAGCGGGAAGATCACAAAGTTGGCAACCCTGAATGCACTATGCAAATGCTCACTACTCATTTCGGTCGGACTAGCGACTGAGCGCTTCTATCAAATCCCATTAAGCCGTTTTGGCTGTATCCCGTTTCAAAAATATTTTCCGGGACAAGAATTAGCGTAAGTGCTATTCCAGACTATAATCTATCTCTGTACGAAATTTCATCCAAAACCGTTCAGCCACTTTGGCGTGATTGAGTAACAAAAATCTACATTTTGTCATTTCAGATATTAGTAGGGTGACAACCGTTTAAGTACAGCCGGAGAGTTCACGAATCACGAAGGTATGTTTCGGCCAAGCCGAAGAGTTCGACCGATTTGTGGGCGAAACCAAAACCTCGACAAAAACCTTTCTTTTTGTCGAAACTTGGCCGAAATCTTGGCCGGTTGTCCACTAGTGTATACATCGTATACAAGTCTCAAATGAGTTAGAATAAGAGTCAGAAGCCAGGAGAATTCATTGTATTTCGATTCATTTGTTGTTCATGTGTTGATTTGATCTGGCTCGAACACATATCGTCAATCGCGGCAGCTGCTGGGAAAAAGCGTTAAGGGTTAAGAAGTATTTATTTTCACATAACCTCCTCAGTTTGTAGAAGGCCCAGATAAGGCCTATCTTCGAGTACTTCTTACATGTTATTGGTTTTGCCGCCCCGACTGTATTATCCATGCTCAATGCTCTTGAGAGGAGGTCTGTCTGACTGACCGATGGCTCTTCTCTAATGGACAGTCTCAACACCCTTTCGCACCGAAGGGCACTCTGCCATCTGGCTCTCTTCTACTGCTATGTCAATGCATGATGCCGCCTCGCAATGAGCCTGTCACACAGACCCGCCAGACTTCGGTCTCCCATCCTATCCGTGTCGAAGTTTTTACATCCTAAGCTGGCCGTTACGACCGCTCGTTTGTCCCTGTGGAACAATCTGCCTGAGGAGGCATTTCCCAGTTGTTCTAACCCTAGGCATTTCAAAAATAGAATTAAAAAAGTGTTTTTAATCTCCGTATTTAGGCTTTTGCTACGCGGCTGCTTCCGTATAAAAACACTATTGATTGTATTTTAATGGGCGTTAGTTATTATAATACCTGACATGACCTAAATCTCTAACGGCACCTTTTTCCCCTTTTTTCGTGACATTTATGATGGCAGCACAATACGGAAAGAACAATTCCTTGCAGGATATTCTTCGAAGTCACGTATGCAGGGCAGACGACGTTTCATCTCCCCAGAAAAATATAGGATATGCTTGCTTGTTAGTGGAAATAGAAGGTTGTTATTGGATAACGAAGTTTTTCCGTATATCGCTCGCCGATCCAAGTATTATAAGCTATCTATGTTTTGGTGGTATCGGAAAATGTTTCATTAGAAATCAAAGTATGATAAATTTTCCGTAGGCCGTGTTGAAATATACATACACATATGACATATAAAATGCAACACCCAGAATTATTTATTGAATTTTTATAAAAGCTCGTAAACAGATTTACGCTGATAAAATGTTGAATGTATTCCGAGCCGTACTTTTTTCTAAAGGCTTTTTTTTGTCATATCAGGATCCGAACAATATGAATATGTTTACTTAATATTTAGTGATTTTTCTGTGTTGGTTCTACATATTTGCATTATCTTGCTCAGAGTTCACTCAAGTTTCCGAGTTTGAGAGGGGTCGGATCATCGGGTTACGTGAAGGCGGATTTTCTTTTAGATAGCTCGCTAATCGGGAGAAATTGTCTCCAGTCCATGTGGAGGATTGCAAGGCAATTTGTTGTCGTCTGCTTTGCTACCATGGCGGTGAAAGCTAAATGGACAGGTAGGTCTGTGATTGGTTGCTCTTGTAGCTTCACTAGCATTCTTTGTTGCAAATTTACTTGCCTGATAAGGCCTTGTCGAGAATTTCTCAAAGTTGCTTCGATGGGAGACATCGCGGAAACATCCCTGCAACCTGATAAGCTAGTGAATTCACGCGTGTCCGACTTATCCTTGATAGAAAATGAGAACAATGCAAGCGCCAATTACTCGCACCTTCACATTAGCGTCGACATTTGATTTCCAGCCATTCATCCATCAAAGTATACAGGGTGTTTCAGTTTATTGTTGCATAACTTTAAGATTCGATAGAACTTTTATAAATAATTAATGCATAAAGTCTATATAAACATGGGTCGAAAAATGCGTGGCTTCCGAAATACAGGGTGTTTAAATTTACTTTCTAAAATAGTTTTTTTTAAATATTTCGAACAATATTTGACGTATAACAGTGAAAATTGGTATACAAGGGTTTTTTGGTACGAAAAAACGAACCATGGGCATAGTTTTACTGTAGCCGCTAGAGGGCGCTCTCTACTGTACCTGTAGTGTATTAAAATGAGCGAAAAATTTTTCTTAGTGCAATTTTTTGCTTTTTGAATATAAATATTGATTATTCGCACTTTTCAACATAAAAAAGCCCTCCTGTGAGTTTTCGTTATGGTTAGCCGTTTTTGAGTTATTTCGATTTTCAAGGTTCGATGCATTTTTAATTATTTATGATAAAATAACGTTAAAAAGTCAGTATCTCGATAATTTTTAGAAGTAGGCTGTCCCTGCAAATATTTTTGAAATTGAAAGCAGAATAAAGTTAAACGTCAATTAGTTGACAGTTAGTTTTGTTGTCTATTGAAACCTGAAACGTTTTTTTGCAATTGTGAATGCACGAAATTTAGTTTCTTTTACCTGTTTTTTTTGTAAGTTTTATAAAAATGCCATTTTTATTCTCCAATCAAGAGTTAGCGGATATTCATTTTGTGTATGGCTTTGTAAATGGAAACGCAGCAGAAGCCGCCAGAAAATACGCACGAAGATTTCCAAACAGACGACATCCAACTCGCTCAATATTTGTAAGAGTGCATCGCCAAATAATTGAAAATGGTTTTGGAACTCTACAAATGGATCAAAACATAAATGTTCGTCAGCGTAGATTTACCCGTATGCGTGAGTTTGATAGAGATCCGACCATAAGTGTTATGAGAGTTTCTGGTGCCTTGGGAATTCCAGCAAGCCATGTTCACCGTGTTCTTAGAAATGACCATAGACGTCCTTACCATTTGCAACCTGTGCAAGGACTACAGCCAGGGGACGCAGAACGAAGAATCACATTTTGTCAGTGGATTCTTGATAGAACTGATAATAATAGGGAGTTTTTAAGTAACGTTTTATGGACCGATGAGTCATGCTTCACTAGACGTGGAGTGGTAAATTTTCATAATCAACATATTTGGTCGCATGAAAATCCGCATGCAGTTCGGGAAAGAAATTTTCAGCATGAATTTAGTGTGAACGTGTGGATTGGTATCTATCGTAATCGACTATTTGGACCCTACCTTTTGCATGCAAGGTTAAATGCTGCGACCTTCTTGGAATTTTTAAAGGCTGAACATGCAAACATCTGGGATGATGTTATGTTAGATTTAAGAAGATTGGCCTGGTTCCAGCTTGATGGTTGTTCAGCTCATTATTCGGGAATAGTTAGAAACTGGCTGGACGAAAATTATCCAGAAAGATGGATCGGCCGTGGAGGACCAGTCGCCTGGCCTCCACGATCCCCTGACCTAAATCCATTAGATTTCATTGTGCGGGGATTTCTAAAAGAAAAAGTGTACCAGACTCCCGTAACCACAAGAGATATGCTAATAGACAGAATCAGGAATGCATGTGATGAAATAAGACCTTATTTGTATAATGCTATACCACGTTCGATCATTCGTAGATGTGAATTGTATTGAACAATTGGGTTTACATTTCCAGCAACTACTTTAGATTTTGTATGTTTGTCCTAACTATCCAATAGCATTTTAGTTGTAAATAATTAATTTAAGTTGTTAAAAATAATATTGGAAAATTAAACAAATTAATATTCTCTTTTTTTTGTGTTTATTTGGAGTTATGAATTATTGCTGTGTTTAAAAACACAATCTAAACGATCATCTTAATTACTTGTAATGCCCAAATCGAAAATGTAAAAAAAATATTATTTTCCCATAAATAATTAAAAATGCATCGAACCCTAAAGATCGAAATATCTCAAAAACGGCTGACTATAACGAAAACTCACAGGAGAGCTTTTTTATGTTTAAAAGTGCGAAGAATCAGTATTTGCATACAAAAATAAAAAATTGGACTAAGAAAATTTTTTCGGTCATTTTAATACACTACAGGTACAGTAGAGAGCGCCCTCTAGCGGCTACAGTAAAACTATGCCCATGGTTCGTTTTGTCGTTCCAAAAAACGCTTGTATACCAATTTTCCTTGTTATACATCAACTATTGTTCGAAATATTTAAAAAAACTATTTTAGAAAGTAAATTTAAACACCCTGTATTTCGGAAGCCACGCATTTTTCGACCCATGTTTATATAGACTTTATGCATTAGTTTTAAAAGTTCTATCGAATCTTTAAGTTATGCAACAATAAACTGAAACACCCTGTATACTGGGTATATACAAGGTATGACCAAAAATGAAATATCTACATGACGGTACCCCACCGCATGATCGTCGGGACAACCTCATGGTTAAATAATCATCTTAGACAACGATGGATTGACAGAAACTGACCCGCACATTGGCCTGCGAGGTCTCCTTATTAAAACCCCCTGGATTTCTTTTTGTGGGGCGCTTTTAAACAAGTAGTGTATGCTGAACAAATTAATACTGTTGATCAGTTACAAGAGAGAATAGATAATGCGTTTCATCAAATTCAAGCCACAACAAATTTTGCGAAAATACCTTTTCCTTAATTAAAAAAATGCCGCACTTGTATTCGTCAGAATGGTGATCTTTTTGAACATTTATTGAAATAATGCTTTGATTATCTAATTTGTTTTTTTTTCATTTTTCGAAAACAATGCACTCTGGGAAAATAACACAAGAGATTATTTGTAGCAAACTGAAGGTGAAATCAAAAAGATGCACGTTTCGAAAAAAAAACAGTGGCGTACTATTTTTATTTTTATTTGAAAAATAATGGCACTAATCCCCTGTATCTCCGCCACTGGTGTACGTTAATTTTAAGTAAATACTTACGAATGTGAACAATTTATAAATTCATATACCAAATCTTAGTTCATTTCAGTTGACGGTTTTGGAGATATTATAAAAAAATTGTTTTTTTTTTATTTTTTAACTTCAACACCCCCTTTCTTTTTAATCTAGCCCTCAGGGAAAAAATGTTATATACAACTTAAAATGCGGTCCTGTGTAAGATGTTTCATTTATGGTCACGACTTGTGAATCAATCTGTATAGTGAATAGAGAGACAACTGTGGCAAATTCTCAGATGACCTTACGGTACCTCATTTTATTTCGCGTGAGTATACCATTAGGTCGGCTAACTTGGTGGAATACGTTAATCAATGATTCTACTAACCTTGACAGCAGTCACGGTACTACGATAAACAGGTTCTGTCTGCGTGACCGTTAGTGTGTAAAAATGTTTTGTTGCCTATTTAGAAGTTTTTGGTGGAATCAAAACTACTATCCATTCACGGTTAATTTAACTAACTAATCCAATATGGTATGACACCTAGTGGGCAAAAACTAGTTTCCTCTATGCTACAATAAGAGGAAAATATTTCAAATATAATATCTAACCATATTGATCCAACACTATCCTAAACAGATTCTGATTTTTGAAGCTCTTAAACAAAAAGACCTATAACAAAGTATATAAAACAGCTTTCTTTAAAGTAGATTCCCTGCTTTTATTATTCGGATACTTATAATGTGCTTTAACATTCGACTGCAGGTATAAAAGGATTCCGCTATACAGCCTTTCCCTCTTGGGATGTTGTAAGTGCAATTAACTCAGTAGATGGGGTTGTATACCAGCAAAAAAGCCTGCCGTTACGGGAAAGTATCATTAAGGATGGTGTTCTTTTTTTGATAAAAGCACGACTGCTCTTAGAACTTCGAATCACCTATTTGGCCTACTTTATCGGTTTGATTTTTTCTAGGGACCATTATCATCTACTTAAGGCTTTCTTATTATAAGCATGCATTTTTCTACTTGACAGTTTTGCATTTTCTATCTTTATAATTTATCATTATAATAGAGTGCTGTTACGTAAAAGACCAATCACAGTGTTTCATCAAAATCACTCAACTAATTTATGAGATAATACGTTTTAGATGAATAAACTTAAGTGCTCTAGATAAGACTCTAGATCAGAGTTCCCCAAACTTTTTTGTGTCGTAGACCCCTTGCCATGTTTTTCCGTGTTGGGTAGACCCCCTACTTACCTGATACTGATTTCCTGTAAATTTCTAACTGTAGTGAAGTTTAGTGTTAAAAAATTAAAGTAAAAACACATGTTAATTTATACATTTATTAATTGAATTTAAATTAAAACTACTCAAAATAAAATTTTGTATCTGTTATGTAAAATATACGTAACATTAAATAAACAGGTGTCTGACCAATAAGTGCCCGCATTGGGAATAAGTGCCCGCATTGAAAAAAAATAAGATGGATGAAATAAAAAAAAGTGAAAAATAATAAAAAAAAAGTTTTTTACTTAAAATAGTACAATAAGCGAGTTCGTTTATTAATTATAACATAAACGTATGTTCTACAATAATTTCACTGTTAGTTTGATTAAATCCCGCTTCTTATACGTTTAAGTTATCTAAAAATAGGCAAAACATTAACGAATTTTAGTGTGTACCTATCCTTGAATTTTCAGAATAATTTAAAAAAAATATATTTTCTATAAAGTTCTTTAAAAAAATCAATGCGGGCACTTATTCCCAATACGGGCATTTATTGGACAGACACCAATAAACATAAAATAAACTATAAATAAACTAACACAAGCAATAAGTCAATATTTTTAGTGAGAAGGATGAACCTGATGCTTTAATAATAAATTATCAACATTTGGCGTCAATTTTGTAAGGGTTAATCTTAAATCTCCTCGGATAATGATGTCCAGTCTGTTTCTTCTTTTCGTTAGGAGATTGGTAACAGCGCTGAACCCCCTTTCCACTAGGTATGACGATGGAAAGGAAATTAAAAATTTCCTCGCTATATTCCATAATACGGGATAAGTAACGGGTATGTTGTTTTGCAGCCAGAATTGCTGATATCCGTTTTTAAACTGAACCTTAAGTTCTTCGTTCGTACTTAGTTCAGTCAGTTCCTCTTGTATTATGACATTCGTTTCTTCTATGTCACCATATGGATTAATTATCCACGGTGGTATTACCATAGTCAAAATATCCTCAAACCTACAGTATATTCAGATAAGAGATAGACCGGATGTAAACAAAAGGTTCGGGTGATTTTCACGCTAACGCCGCCGTCTCGACGTTAAACAGGAGCCCTCATTGGTCAATTCGCAATTAAATGCCTATGCCGAGCGGCAGAGCAGTCGTATCAAGGCAGAGTCACATTCAGGTTCAGACGTGTTACGTATGTCGTGTGCATCATTGCAATTTGATATTTCTTTGGACGTTTTCGTTTGTTATATTATTAAGTTGTTGAGTTTGTCGTTGTTATTGTTATACCTTGTTATTGATTGTTATTGTTATCAACTGCTTGCGCAAAATGCCCAGTAGTAGAGTAATTTCGGGTAATATGGAATAGTACGGGTAATATGGAATAGCTTCTTATTTTTATGTTCGTAGCGACATCTGTATTTCAATACCTAAGCCAGCCTCTTTTACACCCTAAATACACAATAGCGTCGACAGGTTTCGCTGGTTGCCGTTCTCTAGTTTATAAACCGCAAATGAGCATTATTTGTGGTTACAAAGTTGTGCACGATAGTCATTAGAATTTTTGTAAAGGTGTTATTTATTTACCAATCTAGCTTATTTTGACAGGTGAGTCTATTCAAATGTTAAGTTACTGTTTTAGAGGGCTGTTACCATATTTTTTTCTTAAAACATATTTGCAGCGTGCATTTTTTTCCTCAATTGCTGTTTCGGGTAATATGGAATATTCCATATTATACCGCTTCTAGGTATCCCATATTACCCGATGTTTTTGTTTTGAGATTGAACGATATTTGTGAAGAGACAAAAAGCCTAATTATCAGCAAAAATTGGGTCGTTTTGCGTATGAAACAAGTTTTTTTTTGCAGAAACTATGTCGGCAAGAAAAAGAAAGCAATGGCAGTCTGGTGATATGCGCAAAGCAATTGAAGATGTTAGAAGTAACAGGTTGGGCTATTTGTCAGCTGCAAAACGTTATAACGTTCCACGAGCAACACTTCACCGCTTGTGCAATAAAGAAGGTTCTCCTGATACTGTTTGCAGTACTACATTAGGCCGAAAAACAGCTTTGCCACCGGAATTGGAAACAGAACTAGTGAAGTATTTGTTGATCATGGATCAAATGTATTATGGATTAACCAGAAAAGATTTGCGATCCATGGCTTTTCAGCTGGCTCGACGCAACAGCCTTCCACATCCATTTTCATTTTTACGGGAATCAGCTGGAAAAGACTGGTTGTATGGTTTTATGAAAAGGCACAAAGCTTCTTTGAGCATTCGAAAACCAACTGGCACTTCTCTAAATAGAGCTCTCGGTTTTAATAAGGAAGACGTCAATGAGTTTTTTAACCTGCTTGAGACTTATGACAGAAAAAACTTTCATTGTGACAGGATTTACAATGTTGATGAGACGGGGTTATGTATTGTACAATCCAAATGTCCCGAAGTTGTCTCAAAAAGAGGCAAACGACAAGTAGGTGTACTAACGGCGGCCGAGCGAGGCTCTTTAGTGACTGCAGTTTTATGTATGAATGCAGCAGGACGGTTCGTGCCACCCATGATTATTTTCCCTCGCAAGTGAGCAGCTTAAGAAAGGAGCTCCTCCGGGCACTTTGTTTGCGTTTCACCCCTCGGGATGGATTCAGACTGAGCTCTTCACTAAATGGTTTGACCATTTTTTGGAAAGGACAAACCCCACCAAAGACAGTCCAGTACTCCTTATTTTAGATGGGCATCACACTCACATTCGAAATATTGACGTAGTCATAAAAGCCCGAGAACATTTTGTAACAAAATTATGTTTGCCTCCTCATACATCGCATAAAATGCAGCCTCTGGATAAAACACTCATGGGTGCCCTGAAAACTTTCTACAATGAGGAAGTAAGGCTATTTATGCGGGCACATAATAGAGCCGTAACACGTTTTGATATGGGCGAGTTATTTGGAAGAGCCTATACAAAAATCCAGACTGCGGAGAGGTCAACAAAGGGATTCAGTACAACTGGCATTTACCCCTTTCGACGAGATGTTTTCTCCGATGAAGACTTCTTAGCCGAACAGCAAAGACATCATGTGCCCCATCCTGTCACAGCAGATTTTCCAGAAAATAATGAACCAGCGCTATGTCATTCACCAAACATTCTCCCCAAGGATATCGCACCAATACCACAATTGAAAAAAAAATAGGCTCGAGAGGAAGAAAACCTGGTCGTGCAAGGGTAGTAACCTCAACTCCGAATAAAGAGGAGTTAGAGGAATCTATTAATCGTTCACGTGAGAAAGTTACTAAGAGACTAGTCAATGAAGCAGGACCAAGTTCTCTTAAACAATCTGCGAAGAAAAAGCGAAAAGCACGTTCACCATCAACATCATCTTCATCATTAACATCTTCTTCAGAACCCGTTCCCGCAAACTCCTCTGATGAAGATGATCTCCCCCTGTCATCTTATATTAGTCCCAAGCAATGTGCTGATGAAACGGCGGAATGTATTTTTTGTCAAGAGATGTTCACGATAAGTAAAAGCAGTGAGGTATGGGTGAAATGTGTCATTTGTAACGGATGGGCTCATGAAGCTTGCACAAGTTGTGAAGGTGATATCTACATTTGCGATTTTTGCAAATAAAATAAAGGTCTATCTAATTTGTTTTATATTTGTTAAATTACCTAACGTGAAGAATTAAACTTGTTTTTTCTTATTTTTCGTATGATTTACCCTATTCCATATTAAACCATATACCTATTCCATATTATACTTCTCTTTTGTTTGACAGATAAAAATAACTAATTGGAAAGTATTTTTCTCTACACAAAAATGAGGTTTGCTTCAGTTGATCTGGTGGTAAGCAATTGTTAGGTAACATCGTATAAGTGTTTCAACAAATTTTCAGAAGAAAAGGTGTATTATTTTTTCAGTTATTGAGAGAAATGAAAATGGTATTCCATATTACCCGAAACTACTCTACAAATACTGCCGATGAAGTTGTAAACTCCTGTAGTCCACCTAGGAAACGCTCTAAAAAAAGACACCTGAGTGCAGAAATGAAAGAGGTCATTTTGAATATATATAAGATCGGGCGCGAGGAGAACGAGGCATCAACCATCAAAGAAATTGTTGTGAAGATTTCTCACAAAGTTGGGGTGTGTCGCGCATCAGTGTTTAATGTGTTAAGACAATACAAAAAAAATCACACCTTTTCTGAGCCAATGACCAGTAAACATCGCAAAAGTATTGTTAAATCATTGGATGAAGCTGATAAGCATGCGATTAGGAGGAAAGTGCATGAATTCTTCTTTAGGAATGAAATACCTACTATAGATAAAGTACTGCAGGAGGTAAATGGAGATACAACGTTGCCAAATTTCAAACGATCAACTTTCCATGCGTTACTGAAGCATTTAAATTTCAAATGGAAAAAACGGGGTCGTAATAGTTTACTACTGGATAGAGAAGAAATTGTGCTATGGACGAGGGATTATTTAACAAAAATTGGGAAATATAGAAATCAAAACAGGAAGATTTATTACCTTGATGAAACGTGGGTAAACGCAGGACACACTACAAGTAAAGTATGGGTTGATAATTCTGTAACTTCATCCAGGAGGGCCTTTCTAGATGGACTGTCCACCGGATTAAAAAATCCAGCAGGTAAATACGAGTAATAGACAACAATCGGATGTTTTTCAAACCTTGGGAACAAGGTTCTAAACATTAATTCCAGGGGCAGATAAAACATATTACAAGTAACAAAACTTTTATAACTTTCGATAAAATGCGTGGATGTTTTATTGTCATTTTCATTTGTTAGAACTTTTTTAAGCCATGTTTTTATGTGTCTTCGATATTTCAATAATTTTTTAATATAATCTTAAAATATGTCGAATATTATAAACTTAAAAAAAGTTACTAAGTTTTATATTGTGTACCGTTCCTAATATTTCTAATCATTTTAATTCATACTTTAAGCTTTATAAAGTTATAATTTGTTAATATTAATATTTGCGCGTATTTCAGGTTCCTGATCATTCATTTTTTAAAGGTTTATAACATTAAATTAAATTGTGAAGCGCTGAGTAATCATACGACATTCAATATTCTTTCTTTCAATATGACTAAATAATCCCAATTATAGCAATCTGATACTCATGTCTCAATGTTTTTTCGCTGAATGTGATGAAAACATTTGAAAAAGGTTCGCTTATTGAAATAAATCTACACCAGTTAGTACTTCTATAAAGGGAAAAGGCTCATTATCTGCCATATTGGCAGTGAGGATGGATTTGTTGTTGACGGTCTGTGGTGCTTTGAGTCTAAGAAAACTGGAGATTACCACGAGGAAATGAATGGCGAATCGTTTGAACAGTGGTTTTCAAAAATTTTACCGAACTTAGAGGAAAACGCAGTAATTGTGTTGGATAATGCGCCTCGAAGAATGGAGAAGGTCCCAACAACGGCTTCAAGGAAAGTTGATGTTCAAAATTGGCTCCGCTCGAAAAATATCAACTTTGAAGAAGCCATGCTGAAAGTACAATTATTAAGAATTGTCAAGGATCACAAGGCGGAATATCAAAAATACGCCATTGACGAAATGGCAGCAAGTCAAAATAAAACTGTGCTCCGTTTACCTCCATACCATTGAGAGCTCAATCCCATTGAGCTCATATGGGCAGAGGTTAAAAATTATATAGCTAAGCACAATACAACTTTTAAATTTTGTGACCTCAAAGGACTTTTCAAAGAAGCACTAGAATTAATAACAGCGCAAAAATGGGAAAACTGTATTAAGCACGTGAAAGACAAAGTTGAAAAGAGAATGTGGGAACTGGACAATATTTCAGAGGAACAAGTCGAGCCATTCATTATTGACGTTGGTGCTTCAGGCAGTAGCGATGATGAAAGCTCATCAAGCTCATCTTTCCAATAAAAGATGTCGTTCATCAAATTCGGTAGTTTATAAGTAATTATAAAGCTGCTGTATTTTTTAATTAATTATTGACATTTTTGAACTCATTTTGGCAAAACCTATTCAAGAATCTACTTTCTGACAATGTTCAACCATGCACATTTTTTTACGTTTTGAACGTTTTTATTTGGTTACATATTTACCTAGAAATCAAAAAATATACTAATCAATATTCTAAAAGCAATTTTAAGAGATATACGATTATTTTTAATTTAGGCTAATTTAAACGCCATTTTGAGATTATATTCGACTGTATTTCACCAAACATCAGGCGGAAATCGAAGCGAAAATTTTGAAACCCTTATGTATATTTACATCATTATATATTTCTTACCCCACCCCCACATGATCCTATATCCATCACCAATCGTATACACATCGAATTGTGCTAATTTACTACAAAGTTACGCAAAGCAGCATCTACTATCTAAAATATGTACTGCGTGACTCTTAATACGTCCCTGGCGAATGTTACAGCGTTCGATGATCACGTGGTCTTGTTTATGTCCGGTCTATCTCTTATCTGAATATACTGTAGATTCAAAATCTGAATAGAGGGCATTTAAATGTTGAACGTAAGTTGAAACGTCGTCTACCTGGCAGCTTGTCTGTGACAAATTGGCGAACTGAAAAAATTCGCCCCGTCCAATATTTTGCTTCATTAGTTTAACTCTGGCAAGAAACGCTGATAAGATGGACTTTGTTTTAATCAAATTTAAACTGTCGCCTTGTAATTGCAAATTAACCATATTAAATTTTGTAAACAAATCTGTTAAATAGGCGATGTCTGTTTTCCTCTTCATTAAATTTTCTTTTAAAATTTTATCTTTAGTATCCAGAAATTCTAAAATAGACTCAAAAAGTGCAAAAAATCTTGTCAAACATAAGCCTTTCGACAGCCAGCGTACTTCAGTGTGAGGAGTAATTGATGAAAGTGTTCATCATTTTCTTCACACAACTGGGCAAATAACCGCGTATTCAACGCGTTGCTTCGGATTTGGTTTACTGCATCAATTACTAAATGAAGTGATTCATGCAATCTAACACTCAAATTTTTAGCAACTAAATGTTGTCGATGGATGATGCAATGTATTGCTAACACCCCTGACACATTTTGTTTTAAATAGCTTATAAATCCACGATAACGTCCAACCATGGCAGGTGCTCCATCTATAGCTACTGATATTATATTTGATAAAGGAATTGCTTTTTCAATGAAGTAATCCTTCAAAACATAAAATATTGATTCACCTTTAGTGTCGGTTATCAAAGTTCTTGCGAAGAGCAGTTCTTCGTAGATTTCTTGATTCATAATAAAACGAACATATGCCAATAATAATGCTGCATTATCAGGCAAAGTTGACTCGTCCAGTTGTATAGAGAAATGGGTCGTTTGCAAATAATTACATAAGAAGCTTTCAATATCAGAACTCATTTCATCAATACGTCTTTCAACAGTATTGTTGCTTAAGGGAATTCTTTTAATGATATCAGATGCAGGTTTGTGTAAAACAGTTTTTAAAATCTCGCAAACCATCATCATTTTTTTGTGACGTCGAAGCGAACATTCTGTCCAGTGTAGGTCTCTTCTGAAATTTATCTTTGAGTGTTTCAAATCTTTCTCTGTTTTGTCAGGGTGGCATCTTCTCAGATGATCTTGCAGTTTAGATGGTTTCATAGCGTCATTGCTCAAAACTTTGTTGCATAAAAGGCACATAGGCGATTGTTTGTCCGGCAATGATCCATCAATGAAGCCAAATGAAGCCAAATTTCAAATAATCAACTCTGTACTGTCTACATTTCTTTCTTTTTACTTCACAGGTACTTTTATAAATAATGTATATGTTTTGATATTATAAGATAGTATGATGTAAGTAAATAGGTACTATCAGTGTATGTGTTGAGATCCACTATCGTGGACCCCCATATTCATTTCATGGACCCCCAAATTTTTTTTCGCTGACGTAGACCCCTTGCAGGTTGTCATAGACCCCTAGGGTCGATATAGACCACTTTGGGAATCAATGCTCTAGATCATAGTAACGAATTCGTAAAATACAGACGCTTGACTCAATTGCAAGTCCTACAGTCTGATCGGTTGTTATTGGTTCCGATGAATAAATCTAAAGATTGTGGTGTGAAAAAACTTCTGATTCAGGCCAAGGGCTTGATGGATTTTGACATAGTAGTAGCGATTGCGTTCGTCTTATCAGTGCAAGTCACAGTAGGTATATAATAATCTTACAAAAAAATAGCGGACTATAATGGACAAATTTGACCTTGATATTCCTTTTTGACGGGCTGCAACTTAAACAGATTGTTGGATTTTGACATATCTAGATTTTGTTTGACAGTGAGACTGACAGTGGGTATACTAAAATTTTATAAAATCAAGATGGCGGATTTTAAACGCCATGATTAAAATTTTGTTACTGCAGGCGGGTTGATTGTATTTTTACTAAACATGAGATATTACGTTATATGACATGTTCATCACGAAAAACCATGTCACTCACTTCCGTCAGTCTGTCTCTCTGTCGGTCTTTCCGCTAATCCTTGGCTCGTCTATAACTTCGAACATACAGCTCGAATTTTGATTAAATGTTCACACAAGGTTACTACTATGCTAAGGACGAAAAAGACTTGTAGTTTTTGGAAATCGTTCGATGATGACGGAGAAAAAGGCCAGAAGCTCAAGCTTGTTCTTTGACGCTTCATAGGATCCTGACTATTTTTGAGAATCTTTTTAGGGGTAAGTATCGCAATTTTTTGGAGGCGTCATATTTATGAACATCTTACCCCTCCAATTCTACGCACCTATCACTGGTATATCACTCAGTATATTTGCCCTTATGACTTCGAATGACATTGTATGTAAAGTGCACTAGTCGCTGCTCACTCTCGCGGCCCATGTGACGAATTTAACTGAACACCTGAGAAAAGGTGGTCGAGCTACTGGCAAGAAGGTAAAGATCTCTCAATCATTTTTATTTGATTTTCAGAGGCTCTTGATTATTTTCAGAAAATTTTTTAGATGTTGATAAAACTATTCGACACCTATTAGGCACAACAAGACAAAACACTGGACACAACTTAAGGGGCCAAATCCTGAAGAGCCCCAAAATTTTACAAAAAAGCATGCTAAATATACAAATTTTTTATGTAACTACCTGTTTGACTAACTTTTACAGGGTGATTAACAAGTCGTGACCAAAAATGAAACATCATACACAGAACCGCATTTTAAGGGGATCTTCTTTGTAATATTTTTTCCTCGAGTGCTTCATTAAAAGGATACTGGATGTTGAAGTTTAAAAATATTTTTTTTTCTAATATCTTCAAAACCGTGAACTAAAATTTGGTATTTACCACATTCAAAAGTCTTTTCTTGAAACTAACGTGAACTAGTGGCGGCGATACAGAGGATTGGTGGCATTATTTTTCCAAATAAAAATAGTAGGCTACCGTTTATTTTTCCAAACGCGCAATTTTTTGATAATTACCATAAATTTGCTAAAAATAAATACTCTTGCGTTTTTTCCTAGAATGCACTGTTATTGTTAAAATGAAAATAAAACAAATTAGATCATTCATAAAGAGCCAAGATATAATTAGTTTCAAAATCAAATAGGAGGCTTTGATACCAACTTGACGTTTCTTGGGAGATAGTTTAGCAAAGTTACGTGTTATACGGTTGTTATCGTTACTACTACCACTTATCTTTTTTTGTAAAAATCAAATCAAAATTTTATTTTTTTCAATCTTTGAATGTTGCGAAATGGAATTCAGCAATAATGAGTACGCCGATATTATTTTTGCGCACGGGTTCTGTAATGGAAATGCTTCAGCGGCTTCTCGGGAGTACCAACGTAGATTTCCTATCAGACGTCAACCTACCCTAAAGGTGTTTACGTGTTCATTTCTGAGACTTCTGCAATATGGAATTGCCAAACTTCCCGGAGTTAGAGGCCATTGTATTCGGTGTACTGTTCAAGAGGATCTGGAAGTGATTAATTTGGCATTGGATGATCCTAGTGTAAGTACTGGCGGATTGCAGTACAGTTAGCATACTCCCAAAGTCTTGCCTGGAGAATTTTAAATCGGGAAGTTTTACATCCTTACCATCGTGATGTCTGCAACCCGGCGACGAAGTGCAACGGCGTAATTTTTCTGAGTGGTTACTGCAAATGCATAACCAAAATGCAGATTTTATGAATTTGGTTTTGTGGTCAGATGAATCGTTTTTTAGGAGGTGTGGAATCTTAAATTCTCGTAAGAGAACTAATTTGGTCGTTAGAAAATCTCCGTTCTGATGGAATCTACTCGTTTCAACACAGATTTTCTAGAAATGTCTGGTGCGGCATTTTCATTTTCCAACTTCTTATGCACGTATTTTCACAACGTGTAAATGCAAACTCATACTTATCTTTTCTAGAGAATTACATAGAAAATGTGTCAGTTGATGTTCCGTTAGCGAGAGTCCGAAGAGTCCATTTTAGACAACGATGGATTAGCAGAAATGGACCCGTACGTTGGCCTGCGAGATCTCCTGAATTGAACCCTTGGATTTCATTTTGTGGGGCGCCTTCAAATAACTAGTGTATGCAGAACAAATTAATACTGTTGATCACTTACCAGAAATAATAGATAATGCGTTTCATCAAATTCAAGCCACAACAAATTTTGAGGAAATTCGTTCTTCTTTGATGAAAAGATGCAGCACTTGTATCCGTCAGAATGGTGGCGTTTTTCAACATTTATTGAAATAAAGCTTTGATTATGTAATTTGTTTTTTATTTTTACGAAAATAATGCACTCTAGGTAAAAACACAAGAGTAATTATTTGCATCAAATTGAAGGTATAACTCGAAAAATTGCGCGTTTCGGAAAAAACACTGGCCTACTATTCTTATTTGGAAAAATAATTCCACTAATCCCCTGTATCTTCGCCACTAGAGCTCGTTAATTTCAAGCACATACCTTTGAATGTGGACAGTACTTAGGTAAATTCAGATACCAAATTTCAGTTCCTTTCAGTTGACGGCTTTTAAGATACTAAAAAAATTGTTGTTTATTTTTAATGAAGCCCTAGTGGAAAAATGTTATTTAGGAGACCCCTCTTAAAATGCGGTCCTGTATATTTTCAAATGCTGAGGGATAGCTTAGCGATGCTGCGTATCTCCGCTGTCAAATCGGTGGGGACTATGCACTAATTGTTTTTTATACATACGTATATTGTTTGAAGTTAGCTTTTTTCTTTGATAGGCGAATATAATACTTCATGAACTGATGGCAGCGTAGCGTAGGAGGTGCAGAGTGCAGAGTCAGAGAGTATTTGACGCCATTTGTTTTGTTGCAGATTGCCATGCTGGTGGTTGGGGTGTCCAGGTGGCTAGGGCATGATCGGTGCAGCTTCAGTAGCATCACCGTGACCATCACCTGGAGCAGTTGCAGCCGGAGATGAAACCGGCAAACAACCGACTTGGCAACCGTCGCTGTAGCGCCGTTACTTGGGTCAGTCTAGATTACATAAGCAGACAAAATTTCTACTTCACCAACCAGAATACGCTTTCATGGTTTTTGATGCGCTCAATACGAATCCAAATATTTCAATTGGCTCTAGTTATTGGGATATCCTAACCTTTATGCGCGAAGAAATAAACAGTTGATCAGCAAGTGACATTTTTGTGTTAATCTGCAAGGTTGGCAATAATGATTCGGGTGTAAATCTAGTAAAACTTGTTTGCAGCGTTTTGTTTTTTGTATGCAAATAAACTTTCCTAAATAAAATAGCTTTTAGCAAGTACAAAATGAATCTGTAGTGTACAAAAACTCGAAACAAAATATGACTCTATCTAAGTGGCATTGACTGATCCGTCAGGAATTATGTGTTCTTTGCGGATATGGGGAACTTTGAAATATTACTAGATAATTAGCTGTCATTTTACCGTGATGGATACTCGTGAAAAAGAACCAAGCGATTTTAAGCTACATTTGAGGTTATATCAGGGATTATTCAGATGCGATATCTGCTGTCGGTCCCTTTGATCGTCGTGTCCCCAACCGCTCACCATATTTCCCGCGCCCGGAAGATTTTTTCCTAGGGGTTGTTACGAGTTATTAGCCTGACGTCACGAATGTCATATTGTCATATGTCAAGCTCCAGAACGAAGAAATTTGTGTTTATTATTTCTCCAAGTGTATTTAGGCCAGATAATTGATTTGTATTGATAAAACTGTTTTATGGTCACGTGTCAAAACATTCCACGGATAACCCTCTAAATGTCACAGCAACAGGAATCCCACCAAACACATAGAACTCAAGTTGACGTTGACAGAATATGATTTTTGACAGAGTGTCGCCTCTGGTAGTACTCTATGGTTATGAAGCATGACGAATTATTTTTTCAAAATATACGTTACGTATATTTATACGTTAAATCTGCAATAATAACCAAATACGTGGTTATGTTGAGCGTACCATGTACCATCACCGATGGTGCGACTGATTATACACTAAAATCAAATCAAAAAACTACAACTGCAATTGAATGTATGAATGAAATCTTGAACAGTTGCGGACCAGTGGTGTCAAAATGTCGTTGAGGAATTGGAAAGAAGTGTATGAATGTGTTGAAACGCAACACCTAACAAAAATTTGAGTGAAAAGGCTTTTTCATGTAAGAATTTGGAAGTGCAAGTTTGCAAATGTAGGATAAACTATTAACACCCAGTAGGTATGTTGAGTTAATATAATCACATATGGATTACAAAAGTTGCAATAAACATGGAGAAACCTTCAGCTAAAATGAAAAAAAAAAATTGATTTTACTCAGGCATCAAGCATTTTTTTTTAAATTTTGGCTGTTTTATATAATTTCATAATATTTAATAAACTGAAAACATTTCAATGGCAAGCTGTCACTTCATATTTTACAGTGTTCTGTTTTGAATACTTTGATGCTATTTGCTGGCAAAAATTTGACGGAGGGATCTTGAGGCTGATTGGGTATATTTGACGGACTGTTTAGTACTCGTACCCTATTGGTGCAGAATAATGATTTGTTAAATTGTGAAATCGGCCCTAAATGACACAGCAACAGGAATCCCACCAAGCACATATAGTCAACGCCAAACAAAGTGGCGTGCACGTCATCAAGGTGGGTGTGTTGAAAAATTTACATTGTTGCCAAACTTTTTGTAAAATAATAAAATTTATTATTTACATATCTAGGTTTATAAGCAATATTAACCTCAAATGAGAACAAAAATAATAGTATAATAAAATTATAGATCTGTACTTGCATAATCATTAAGTATGACAATTATTGATCAGATGACACTATGAAACTACCATATTTAATTGATAGCTTAAAGGTACTGAATAAAAATCCAAATGGGGTCCTCCAAATTTTATGCATGGTATTTATTTTACAGAATTCATACAGAAAAATGCATTCTAAAATTAGGTAAGCTACTGGTGTAAGCTTTTTCTGTACAATAAAGTTAGTCGGAGTTTCTTTCTTCAGCGCTGTCTGAATCTGAATCTTCATCACTCTCAAAGTTGATTATTAAAGGTTCGATGTCTGGTCGATCAAAAATTCGTTCTCTTTCATACCATTTAAAAATTTCTTGCTCAGTATGTCGAACACTATTTTTCCACATGTCTGGGGTAACCGTTTGTAGAGCCTCGTTCCACATATCCAAACAGTCTTTTTCACTGTTACCATCTCTACCAATATGTCTGTTATAGTAACCTTTTGCTATGCCCCAAATTAACTCAATAGGGTTAAATATACAATGGTAAGGAGGCAGACGAAGAACTTTGTGCCCATGTTGTTCCGACAATTCATCAATCACGTATATTTTAGGTGGTTTGTTTCTAAAAAAGCAGTTATTTTAAGAATTTGAATAAACAAAAGAAATATAAACTGTCGACCAAAATATATATAATTAAGAAGCATTATGTACCGAGCAACAATACTCAATAGCTCTGTTTTAAACATTGTGTTTAAAAATGGTATGTTTTGATTTGTCAACCAGTCTTGGATATTTTTTTTGTCCATGCATTGTTGGGCACTTTGTTCAATATCATGCTGTGATAAGGGGCGTTATCCAGTATAATCATAGATGGACTCTCTAATTTTTCTAATAACTGATGTTGAAACCATTTCAAAAAATTGTCCTGGTTCATCTCTCCATGGTAATCGCTCAATTTTGTTTTCGAAGAAAATATCGCTTCACTACCCTCAATAAACCCATTTTCGTTTCCAGCATGTAATATAATGTATCTAAAATATATTAGTTTTAAATTTTATAGTGCAAATTGTGTAAAAGTACATACCTTTTACCATCTGTTTTAATAGCTTTCACGCTTTTTTGGTTTCCATTTTGCCAAGAGCGACCTATGGTTCCATTTTGAAATATCCAAGTTTCATCGAGGAAGACAAACTGGTATAAGGCCTCAACCTTGGCTTGATTGTATTGCCTTAGAAATTCCACCCTTTTCAAAGCTATACTTGGTAGTTTCATGAGCCCTCGTCGCGGATTGTCCTTAAGCCACTTAAATCCAAGATCTCTAAGCAACCGCCTTAAAGACGTGGCACTACCATCAAATAATGCCCTATCTCTTAATCGAGACCATAAAGTTTGTATCGTAACTTGTTCTTCTGAAACCATGTGTAATATGACATTATAATTTAGTTAACAAATTAATGCAAATTTCTGATAAGTTATTATAATAAGATCTTACTTTTGTGATACATATTATAGATCACTTCTCGAATGGCACTTGTATCCAATGTCGCTGTGTTGGTTACACGTTTAATATAACTCCGCTTTTTCTTGGGCGATTCTAAATTTGCATCACTTTTCACACCCTCGGAAATACGACTAACTGTCCTTAAACTAATTTTTAAAGCAGCAGCAACACGCTACAAAAAATGAAATAAAATTTCACTATTATTAATATACATTACATATAATTATTAGTAACCTACCTCTTGAACAGCATTTAAAGGCAACAAAGGCCCGTTGTTGTCCCTTTCTTGCTCAAAGTAGTGCATTAACGAGGCCACGAGTTCCTTACACCGACTATTTAACTGTTTGGTCATCTTTATATACTAATTGCCTTTATCTACTCGTAAAATGAATAATTTTGTTTTGAAACAAGCAGTTGTTGATTTACAGTATGCGGGGCCAAAGGATTTATAAAGATTTGAAATGCCACAAATTGATTCAGTGTCAAAATTAATACATATGTCAGTTCCCAGTTTAAATAAGTTTCAAGGTGACAATGTGTCAACGCTGCGAAATCGGTTTAGTGCGTTTACATGTCGATAAGTGATTGGAGCGTTTGCAAAACATTTTATTTCGCATAATGCGTCTAAATTTATCAGAAAGCAACTTATGTGATATTTTAATAACAATGTTTATATGACTATTAACCATAATAAGAGAGTAATGACCATTTTACAATTTATATATCACATTAATATGAAACTGCAATAGAGCAATTGTTTGTGATAGAAACATAGGCATTAGGTCGGGGAATTTTTATCGTGATGACGTGCACGCCACTTTGTTTGGCGTTGACTATAGAACTCAAGTTGGCGTTGATAGAACCTGATTTTTGACAGAGTCTCGCCTATGGTTATGTAGCATGACGAATTATTTTTTCAAAAACCATAGACGCCCGTTCAGATGCAGTTGAATTTGCTTAAATATATTTATTCACTGAGATATGACACTTTGTAATTTTTATTTTTCGCGAGCGAACTAATTTAAACGAACCATCTTATGACCGAACTAAGTGTACCAGTTCAACATTTGACGAAAAACTCGTTCAGTTGTTCACCACGAACGACTGGTATTACAGAGTCGCTTTCCAGTGCTTTTGTATGCACCCGGAGCACCGCGGAGTGTGACGCTCTTGAACTACTCTAGCAAATGCGCACGAGAACGCTACGATAGAAATCTAGCCTTTTGTTGATGTTTTGCCACTTTGCTTTGACGTTGACAATTTGTATCACACTGCCAAACAATAAAAATGTCAACAAATGTTGCCTTTATTTTCAGAAGCATTGTCAGACTATCCAATTGAGGTCTGATGATGCTTTTTATTGTAAAGCTTCTGGATAAATGTGTCGAATTCATATTTTAGTGTAGATATTCAAAATTATTTTCAAAGTTTGTAGTTATAGATGAAGCCAACTACAAGCCGATATGAACCTTTATCTTGCACTCTCTTGTGATCTTTATTATTCAGGAACATCTCAAATGTACGTTGTGACTCTGGGTCATAACATTATCAGTTTTTTACCATCCTCCATTATCTGGTATCGGTTTAATGTGAGTTTAATGCAAAACAAAGCAAAAACGATGAAAATCTTGACACATTGTCATTTTCGTTATCTCCACTATTTCGGAGCGTATAACACCGAACAAAAAGCTGGTGCATGAGTGTGCAGGAGATTTCCAAAATGAGTAGCCCATGTGCATGACACTCTAGAGCA